TTCCTATGCATACACCCTCCACTATGAGGCCGCAATCGTTTTGAGGCATAGTATTACTGGAGTTTTTCAATGCCTTTTTACTTATCTTGCACTACTTACTTACTTTACTTCTATATCTTATTACTATCCGAATTTGAGAGGGTTCATGTGAGATTTGCATGTTAAGTCAAGAATTTCTAATTTCTGAGCAAGACGCCTATCTCCTTGTTCTGCCTTCTCAATATACGGGAAAAAACTTGAGTTTTAAACATTTCTTGTTCAGTAGCTTTTGTAAATGCTCAGCAAATTGGTCGCTCTTAATTCTTATATCTCTAAAACCTCAAGCGAAAAGCCTTATTCTTTTAAATTATGACTACATACTTGAATCATTGACCTTTTCAACCATGCGAGGGAGCATCTTTTCTAATCTTAGACTCAAAGCGAAAATACAATTGGCGGCATGCGAAAGCTTTCCATTCATCTGCTCTGATGCGCGTTAATTTAAACCCTTCATATATGCATGACTCAAGTCAGAAGGTACAAATATCATTGCATAAGTTCACCGAGGAGATCTTTGCTATCCGATTCGTTCGCTCACTCATTCTTTTCATTCATCTTTTACCTACGATTTTGCTTATAGTCGTCCCCTTGATGAGCTACTTTATTTAGGATGGGTTGAATAGTTGAACAGTTGCATTCTGAAGTGTGACGTATCGTTGACAACCTTTGCTACGCTCCCGTAGTCACCTTCATCCTCTCATCTCATTGTCTTCTGCAGCGCAAAAGCTGCTGAATAATTCATGCATTTTTTTTCTCGCGCTTCAGTTTTGGGATTAGTGGACAATGTGAGAGAGCTTCTTAGCTCCTTTACTATAAAATCTTTTCCTATTGTGATCTACTTCGCTCATTTCAAAAAATATCAGGCTAAGCTTTGCCTATTTGAAGTATGTTTTTTTTCCAGTGAATTCCTCTGAGATGGCATGTCTCTGTCTCTGATTTTATTGTCCTGGTACGTAGGGCTTTGTACCACTCAGACTTCCGATTTGAAAGCGAATTTGGTGGCCGGGCACTCTCGGAAGACGTTTCGCCCAGGGGCGCCCGAGGACGGATTTCCTCCTTTGTTCAGCGATTTGCAGGTAAATAAAGTTTCAAGAATGATCAGTCGATATCACTTGCCATTTTGTAACCTTGGAAATGTTTCTTTTTGTGAAACAAGAGGAATTTGTGAAAAACATAACGTTTTTGAGATTTACGGTACTTTAGTAGTAGGTAATGTATAATATCTAAATCCTAGCAGAAAAGTTTCTAAGCAATTAAGAGTAGATTTTAAACTTTACAACTAGACTATTCGTATAAATTGAGGTTATCAATATTTTCTTCCCTTCTAAGGCTATCTACAGGTTTTGTCAACTTCAATGCAATTCCCAGCTTCCTTCTGCAGCGAAAGTTCCAGGTTTTTTTTAAAGCTTGCTGAAAATCTATCTCGCCTACGGGCAAGTTCATGGACTTCGCGTATGATTGCACTTGAAGTGAAGTACCTCTTTAGTTTGTCAACGTCGGAGCAAATCTAATCGAACATGAAAAAAACGCTTGCGTAGGGATATGTGGGACAATCTGAGTAAGACAGATCACTATGGGTTAACGGGAAATTACTTGTAGCAAAAAGAGTCATTCAAAATTTGAAAATTCCACATTTTTGAGGGACGTTTTAGAGCAAAACTCTGAGCACAGTTGCGTAATAAGCAGGTTATATTAAAAAAGACCACTTTATAATTCATTAAAAAATCTCCAATTTGAGACTCATAAGAAATGTAACTTGTAGATCGACTAACACTAGCCATTTTTTTCAGTTCCAGAAGCCCCTTGACAAAGGCGAAGTAGCTGAACCATTGCAGAAGTTTACTACAGACTTCCTTTCATCCGCCAGAGAAACTCTTGAGCACGGGTAAGTTCTTATCTATAAGCCAAAAAATGCTCAAATCCTTACAAATCCAAAAAATGGCTAAAGTATTGCTCTTTTGGAAAGAAAACCTGCGAACAAGAAGGATTAATCACCATTCAACTTTACAATTTTCCAATAATTTTCAGCGTTTATAGTTGAACGCTTCCAATGTGCAGAAGACTTTCTATTTGAATTTTGAAATTCTCAGAAAACATTTTCATATATCTGTAATTAATCCAAGCGTGCGCAGGGCTACATTTAAATTGGTTCTGACGCCATGGGTTAACAAGCAGAAATATTCATGAGAAGTTTTTCTTGCTGTGATCATCCCATCTCCACCTTATTTGACTATCTCTAAACAAGATTTGATATTTTCAAAACCAATAAAACCAATAGCTTCATAATTAGCTGGAAACTGTCAAATCTGAGGTAGAGGTTTACCGACTGTCTTTCATT